GCCTGGCTGGGCTTCCTTTCTGGGTTTCTCTGCCCTCTCTCTCGCCTTTTCAGTCTGCCTCCCGCATATAGCTCACTCCTCGCGTGCCTTTATCCCAGTGGGTCTCTCCTTGAGCCATGTTGAAGTCTTCTGCCAGTTGTAGGGCTTCACATGAAGACTTAGGGCAGTGGCACCTTACCCATCTCTGGGTGCCCTCTTCAAAGTCTGTTATAAACTGTTCTAACAGTATTTGGTCACATATGTCTTCTTTGGTAGCGGTTTTGGGTTTAAGCCACTTATTTAAGAAGTCTGTCAAATTTTGCCACAATAGACAAGGTACCCTTTCTTCCCTTCTCTTTCTGCCTCTAAATGCTTGGCGGTGCCTCTCTGGCATTATGTTAAGTCTTTTTAATATTTCTCCTTTTACTTTGTCGTAATCCTGGGCATCTAGCCAGGTCATGGCCCTGTAGGCCGCCTGAGCCTGTCCGATCAAGAGGACTCCCAATTATCCTGCCCATCTAGCCTTCTCCAGCCCAGCCGCTATAGCCACCCTCTCAAATACTTCTAAGAACGCTTCCGGGTTGTCCTCTTTGGTCATTTTGGGCATCTTAATGTCCAACGGAGTCCTTTGTGTCCTCACCTGCTGTTGTATCAGGTGCTCCTCTATAGCTGTGTGCCTTGTGGCCTGCTGTTGTTGCTGCTGCAATACCTGCGCTTTCAGATTTAAAGTCTGTTGCAGGGTGTCCAGCCCTGCCAATATTGGTTGGTGCTCCATCCTGCACCCTTCTAGGAGTCCACTGCTGAATTCCCGGCCAATGCACCACTGTCAAGTGGCCAGCTGGGTAGTTTACCCTCCCAAGTGCCCTTTTCCTTTGTTTTTCCCTCCTCCCAAGAACTATACACACATATAGACAGCTGATCTAGATGCGTGTTTTCATAGGACCTCTGCCCACCCGCTGAAATGAGGGACAAGTCTTAGACAGAGATCCACACACCCATGCTCTCATCTGCCACGTCTTTGGTATTTATAGGAAGATGTTCAGTACCTGAATGGGTAGTTCCATCTAGTCATCATCCACCGTCCTATGACACTGAGGGCTCCACCACCCCTACACCCTTGCCCGGTCCACCGGTTGTCTAGGTGTCCTCGGGTTTTTTTTCAGCCGCTGGGTTCCTCCCCAGGGCCTTTACCTTAACAAAAAAATGAAAGGAACCCACGCCTCCTGTCCTGGAGGATTGTGGCCCGGCTTTTGGCAATAAACAAAGAAACAAAATGTCAGTGCAACTACTCTCTCCTTCCCCTGTGCATGTCCATAGGATTGTGCCTCTTGCGCCTTCTATTGGGGTCATCACAGTACCCTCATCTCACTGAGGTCATCATTTATCATTTTTCCTTGTACCCCTTTTAGGGTCACTATGGTACCAGGCTTTAATGGTGCCCCTCTATTAAAGTCTTTAAGGTACCTTTTTCTCGTGCCAGCTGCCGAGGAGATCGCCAGCAGTTCCTGACCCTCCCAGTGCACTGTACCTTCCTCTAGAGCTTCTCCGGGGAGTTCCCTCTCTGTAGCAGCCTCCTGCCAGCCCGCCACGTGGCTCTCACAGATTCCTCCAGCGTTGTTCGGCCTGACTCCTTCCCTTCCGGTCCTGCGCTCTCCCCTCCTGCCTGTTCCAGGCTCCTCTTTATGCTGCGGTTTGAGTTCCCAGCTCCTCCCCTTCAGAAACACCTGGGTATGAAGAGTTTCAGCTGGGTCCTTTGGGGCTATGGGTCTAGGGTAGCTGCTTCTGGCTTTGGCACGGGCTCTCACACTCTCACACAGACGTGTAGACATTTGGTTCTCTGGGGACAAGGTGCACCGCTGCTACCTTTCCCTGGGCAACGCTTGTGCCAGCAGCAAACTGGCCCAGGTGAGCTAGGGAAGGCTGGGGCCAGCATTGAGCTGTCTTCAGCAACCTTACCTGGGGTCTTGGGGGGGGCCTTGGGGCTGCAGCAATGGCAATTCTCCTGTGCAGAGTCTGGCCAGCAGCACAGCTCTGGGATGCTTGGCTCCACTTTTCAGCAGTGTGCACTGGCTTAGTGTGTGTTGCCCTGTGTTTTTTTTCTTGAAGGTTTTTTTGACCCCTGGATATGTCTCACATAAAATTCTCATTAACAAGAAAAGGAAATTCAGACTAAAGGAAAGTACTGTAAGGTAAAAAACTAGTTGGATCACCATGCTTAACAAATAGTCATCAGTGGCTGAATGTCTAACTGGAAGGAGGTATCAAGTAGGGTTCCCCAAAGATCTGTCCTCGGTCTGGTATTATTTAATATATTCATTAATGATTTGGACAATGGGATTGAATCCATGCTTAGCAAGTTTGCAGATGACACCAAGTTGGATGGAGTTGCAGACGCTCTGAAGAGTTGTGCTAGGATCTAAAATGATCTGGATAGGCTGAGAAAATGGTCTGAAATCAACCAGATGAAATTCAGCAAGGACAAGTGTGAAGTCCTGCACTTGAGATGAAATAATTGTGTGCACAAAAAAAAAGGATTGGGGAATGACTGGCTAGGTTTCAGTACTGCAGAAAAGGGGTTATACTGGACCAAAAGCTGAATATGAGCCAACAGTGCACTCTTGTTGCAAAAAAAGACAACAGTATACTGGATTGTATTAACAGGAGTGTCACTTGCTGTGATGGGACCCTGAGTTGGTCAAGGTCATGGGGGTACAAACTCCCCATGAAGTGTGTTACGCAATTTCAGGACAGCTAAATTTAGGGATAAAAACAAAAACACAACTTTAATCATTAGGGAAAACACTACAACAGAACTGTGGAAGACAGAACACTAAATTTGTCCCTGGCAAGAGACACATGAGCAGAAGCCTGTTGTGCCCCCATTGAGCCCAGGGACCCCCAGGACTCCCCAGTGGGACCCCAACCTGGACTCCCAGTGCAGCCAGAGGTAGGTGGGGCCCACAGCTGGGAGGGAGGGACCCCAACCCAGGCAGCTGTGGGGCAGCTGAGTCAGAGCCAAGGAGGGACACCCCCCGGTCCTACTTGGTCCAGCCC